TGTATCTTGGAGTCGTAAACAAATAATGTTTATTGCTATTATGTGTGTTTTTCGAACATGTCCTCATTTTTATTTATTTGTTTTAACTTTATTTATTTAGATTTTTTTTTGCATTGTAAATTGCATATGAAATAACATGTTAATACCACAACACAAGGAATGGTGTGGCGTGTCATCTGCATGTTACAATTTTTTTTTTTGGGGGGGGGGGCTGGGGGTTAACAAATTTATATCTGATCTTGTGTACCTGTAAATATGTACATACTATAAATAAATAATGAATACAAAAATAAAATTGCATTTCCACAACGTGGCATAATACATAATAGAGACAATGTTGGTGATGTAAGGGATGGAGATGATGAGAGGGATTGGTGAGGGATGGAGATGATGAGAGGAATGGAGGCGATATTGATAGTGAAAGGGATGGAGGTGATGAGAGGGATGGAGACAATGTGAGGGATGGAGATGATGAGAGGGATGGATACGATGTGAGGGATGGAGAATTGGAGATGATGAGAGGGATGGAGACAATTTTGATGATGTAAGGGATGAAGACGATATTGATGATTAGAGGGATGGAGACATCTCCATTCCTCCCGTCTCCATCCCTCCATCTTGTCACCATCTCCATCCCTCCCATCATCTTCATCCCTCACACTGTCTCCATCCCTCACACAGTCTCCATCCCTCATACCGTCTCCATCCCTCTCATCATCTCCATCCCTCTCATCATCTTCATTCCTCACACCGTCTCAATCCCTCACCAATCCCTCTCATCAACAGCGTCTTCATCCCTTACATCATCAACATTGTCTCCTTCCCTCTCATCACCTCCATCCCTCACCAATCCCTCTCATCATCTCCATCCCTCCCATCATCTCCATCCCTCCCATCGTCTCCATCCCTCTCATCGTCTCCATCCCTCTCATCATCTCCATCCCTCTCATTGTCTCCATCCCTCTCATCATCTCTTTCCCTCACCAATCCCTCTCATCATCTCCATCCCTCTCACCATCTCCATCCCTCTCATCATCTTCATCCCTCTCATCATCTCCATCCCTCTCATCTCCATCCCTCTCATCATCTCCATCCCTCTCACCATCTCCATCCCTCTCACCATCTCCATCCCTCTCATCATCTCCATCCCTCTCACCATCTCCATCCCTCTCATCACCTCCATCCCTCAACAATCCCTCTCATCATCTCCATCCCTCCCATTGTGTCCATCCCTCTCATCCTCTCCATCCCTCTCATCATTTCCATCCCTCACATTGTCTCCATCCTTCTCATCATCTCCATCCCTCTCATTGTCTCCATCCCTCTCATCATCTCTATCCCTCACCAATCCCTCTCATCATCTCCATCCCTCTCACCATCTCCATCCCTCTCATCATCTTCATCCCTCTCATCTCCATCCCTCTCATCATCTCCATCCCTCTCACCATCTCCATCCCTCTCACCATCTCCATCCCTCTCATCATCTCCATCCCTCTCATCATCTCCATCCCTCTCACCATCTCCATCCCTCTCATCACCTCCATCCCTCAACAATCCCTCTCATCATCTCCATCCCTCCCATTGTGTCCATCCCTCTCACCATCTCCATCCCTCTCATCATGTCCATCCCTCTCACCATCTCCATCCCTCTCACCATCTCCATCCCTCTCACCATGTCCATCCCTCTCATTGTCTCCTTCCCTCTCATTATCTCCATCCCTCACACCGTCTCCATCCCTCTCATCATCTCCATCCCTCTCATCATCTTCATTCCTCACACCGTCTCCATCCCTCACCAATCCGTCATCAACAGCGTCTTCCTCCCTTACATCATCATTGTCTCCTTCCCTCTCATCACCTCCATCCCTCAACAATCCCTCTCATCATCTCCATCCCTCCCATTGTGTCCATCCCTCTCATCCTCTCCATCCCTCTCATCATTTCCATCCCTCACATTGTCTCCATCCTTCTCATCATCTCCATCCCTCTCATTGTCTCCATCCCTCTCATCATCTCTATCCCTCACCAATCCCTCTCATCATCTCCATCTCTCACATTGTCTCCATCCCTCTCATCATCTCATCATCTCATCATCTTCATCCCTCTCATCTCCATCCCTCTCCGTCCCTCTCATCATCTCCATCCCTCTCATCATCTCCACCCCATGTCATGTAAATTGAAATTTAATTATGAAATTTAATTCTTTGAATGGAATATCATTTTAATTTGATTCATTTAGGTTTTATTATATTTGTATGATCTTTTTGGGTACTAAATAGTAATCAATTATACTGCTTTATTGCTGATTTTTTTTTTTTTTTTTTTTTTTTTGGGGGGGGAGTGGAAATTCATTTTGACCCACCCCCCCCCCCCCACACACACACACTTTTTCGTTGGGAGGAGGGCGAGTCCCCTGCCCCCACTTCTGGCGCCTATGATCGCAAGAATGGCTGGATTTCCGAAAAAGGGGCACCTACAAAGGGACACATCAACAATAATAAAAACCATTTTTAGATATTTGTATAAAGGCCTACGCCTTCGTAAAGATTGTGAATACATTACCACGAATGACATCAATATTTGTTATTTCTTTACGTGGAACAACATTATTGTTTAAGCAACATACTTCGCGATTTGGTGTGATGGACTGAATATCGATTTTCGAGCAAGCGAGCTAAAAGTGTAAGGTCCCATTTGAAAAATTACATGATGAATATTAAAGACAATTTAATGAAGAAAGACTGAAAAGTTCTTTTATGTAATTATGAGTAACATTATAATTAAAACATCTGAGAAAGAAAAGTAGGCACTTATCAGAAGGGAAAAGGACATGTACAAAATGATAAGGGGGCACTTTAGGGGAACCTGAAAAAGTGGAGGCATAGTGCCCCCCCCCCAACCAAGAATGCCGCCTCTGACTGTGGACAAAAGTGCAAAACTAACCCAGAAAATCTAGAAATAAACCAAATTTCAATTTTATTTCGCGGGTCAACTGCCCCTTACCCATCAGTACGCCAGTGCTTCCAGTAGGCCTATCCTTCCATGAATTCCTACCATTAAAAATTATCAGAAGGGAAAAGGACATGTACAAAGGATAAGGGGGCACTTTAGGGGAACCTGGAAAAGTGGGGGCACAGTGTCCCCCCCCCCCCAACCAAGAATGCCGCCTCTGACAAAACTAACCCAGAAAATCTAGAAATAAACCACATTCCAATTTTATTTCGCGGGTCAACTGCCCCCCCCCCCCCCCCCCCCCCCCCTATCAGTACGCCAGTGCTTCCAGTATCCTACCATTGAAAAAATTCTGGGACAGAAAAATGCAGCTGTTATAGACCTCTAGATCAAAAGTATATTATTGTTACAAGGGAAATCAACTTTATTCTTTGTAATGACTGTGTTTTTAAAAGCACGAAAATCATGAAAAATGACAATTTCATTTCAATATATATTATTGTTACAAGGGAAATCAACTTTATTCTTTGTAATGACTGTGTTTATAAAAGCACGAAAATCATGAAAAATCTAGAAATCATGATGGGAAAAAGTGTGGCGAGTTGTCCGAAAAGGCTGTGGCGAGTTGTCCAGGGTATTGTGGCGGGATGTCCAGGGTATTGTGGCGGGTTGTCTTGGGGCGGGTTGTCTTTGTGGCGAGTTGTCTGGACTCCGATTCGTTGTACCGTTCTCGACTCTTTATCCTTATCTGAATTCAGTTCCGTCCCCCCTTTTCCGCGCGGAAGCTTTGATGTTTCATTAAATAATTAGAGAAAGAAGACGATTCGTTGTACCGTTCTCGACTCTTAATCCTTTTTTTTCCTACGTCCTCTTCCTTTTTCTTTTTTCTTTTTTTTTGGGGGGGGGGGGGGGCGACCGCCCCACTGCCCCCCCCCCCTCCCTGGCTACGCGCCTGCCCCTCCAAAATAAAAAAAAGAAGGCGATTCTTCAGCTCACTTCTCTTACAGTACTAGGCTAGGCCCTTACGACAGATCTAGCTATTTATCAAGTCTTTAACTTTTAGGAGTAAAATATAATTAGGCCTATCTGATTATGAAAAAGAAAAATTCCATTCCTTCATTAATCAAATATTCTCTGAATGACTAATCTAGTATATGATAATGATGTAGCTACAGTAGATATAGGTCTAGTTTACTCACTAAATCAAATTGGATATTCTACTCGGAATGAATAATGATAATACAGTAGATATAGATCTAGTTTGATTAGTTATACTCACACATCACTCGATCAAATTGGGCAGTACAATCATGCAATGCAGTGCAGCAGCCCGGCGGCACGAGTCAGTGAATTCCCCCGCCGACCCGGTCGGCGGCGCTGTACGGCTAGCTGCACACTGAGCTGAGCTGCTGCGGTAGCACTAGGCAGTAGTCTGCTAATTTACGGCCAGGACGAAAGAATGTGAACAAACATCAACCATCTCGTCTAAAATGTACTATATTTGACTTCTCAATAATGAAATCTGTGCCAGGAATAAAAAATAGACCTTCATACGAGATCAAAATGATATTTTTGCAGTGATTTACCGACAAAAACACTGCTCGAATTTCAGTGGTCCGAGTAGATACAACGCACATTTAATGTACGTGCGGCAATGTGGATTGCGAGCTGTGAGTAAATTGTCCGAAATGTCATTTTTTTGTCATTTTACCTAAAGATAAGTCATAGATTGTCTTCATTAGTATCATTTAACACAATTCCATTAAAGATTTAGGTTGGAAAGGGCATTATTAAGTCACAAAGAGCACAAACATATACACATTGGTATCTCTCGATCGATTAATCAGGTCGGGACATCTCGGCCCAGTTTTTCCAGCTGGGCCGAGTAGTCCCGTGGGCCGAGTTAGCCCGGATTCGTCTAGATCTATATCAAATTTGTTACGCCGCATATTCAAGTAACTTCTATTCATTCTTACAAATAATTCCATACATCATACAACAATAAATATTTATATTTTCATAATATCAAAGTCATTTTGAGTACTCACAAAATTGGGCTTATAAAAACAAGATAATTGTCGAGAGTTCAAAATTCCTCCGTGTACTTCGCGCGGAAATTTAGACATTTGCGCTGTATGTACAGTATTCCAAATTTCGCGCGATCATTGTTGTCTTTTGAGTTGCCTATTGGCGATTAGTCAGTGATTTGACTATTGTCGCCAAAATACTTTACGGCACGTGTTATATCTCTCAATTTTTGATTTTTTTTAAAAATATATTTATTTCGTTTTATATTTATTTATCTTTTAAGATAGTATCGAAAATAATATCGTAAGCAAAACATTCATGGGCTTTGTTAGTGTTTCTTAACAGTACGAGCAGCCGTAGAGATCAGTGCTTGCAACCCGCAACACGAACACTCACATATCACGTATCACGTGATCACGTATCGCGTATCACGTACAACGAACTCAAACCAAGATTACTTACTTGGATTTCGATGATCACATATTGCGCCCTTTCGTGAAACAGGTCACCCAATCTACGAAGTGTTTGGTTACGTGACCCAACAAATAGTTAATTTGCTATATGCAATCTACGAATAGAATAGAATAGAATTTATTGACTCATTCGACCCCCTTCTGGGGTATGAGAGTACAACACATGTACATGTCATGATAATGATACATAATAAAGAATACAAACATAGCTTAATAATACAAAGAATACAGAATACAACAAAACAACAATATAAAAGTATAACGATAAATAGGAATGATCTAAACCTAGCCTATGCTAAACATAAATACAATATTATACAATATGGCAAGCATACATGAAAAGTGGAAAATACCACATGAACAATCTAAATACAAATACAAAGAAAAAGAAAGATAAAAACAAAAAATAATTTTACAATTTTTTTTATTTTTTAAATACATTATTGTCTTAACTAAAAAAGAAATTATAAGTTTCATTTTTGTACATGTAAGTGAGTTGTGATTGGATTGTTAAGATATATGCAGACTAACAAAATACGCCATAATCGTCCATTGGACAAACAAAACATAATGGAATATAATGTAATAAGACAAACAAAACAAAAGTATACTAACAAAAAAAACAAAAAAATGAACAAAAGAACAAACAAACCATCAAAACTATACTTGACCTAAAGAAAGACTGTACTACAGATCAAGAATTGTTGGTTGCTTAATTAACCTACCACTTCGGGTTGTAACATTTCTTTTTATGGGCGACATTATGATTGGATTGTTCAGATTTACATGTATATAGACGAGCAAAATATGACATTATTATCCTTAAGAAGAGTACTAATTTCTTCAGCTGTCCTATACCGGAACATGAAAATAAATTCAACATGTGTGATGTGCAAGGGCGTTTAACTATTACTTTGCGACCTAAATATAACTCTCTTTCCTTTCTGAAAAAAGGGCATACAAAAACATAATGGAATTCATCACCAGACTCATGCATATCACAACATGGGCATTCAATACTAATTTCATTAACAGCTTCTTTGAATCTGTTATTATTAATTGGTAAACGGTGTGACCTACATCTAAAACGGCTCAGTGTTATTCTATCTTTTTTACTCAGCAAAACTAAATACCTTTCAAGGAGACAATCCTCTTTAAAGATCCTATAATTTAGGCACACACTGTTTGTCCAAATTGTTGCCATCACATCTTGTTTTGAAATATCGTTTAATCTCAACTTCAGAGTGCTCAGTATCCAACTATTGCTAAATCCTTCCCCTTGCTTTAGCCAAACAATACCAAGACCAGCATGGTTCAATATTTTTTCAATACAAGATAACCACTTGAAAGAAGTAGACATATCTACATTCTGACTAATTAACCTTTGCAAAAAATAAAATTTGACTGAATATTTAGAGGGAGAACCTTTTACTATTCTTAACCAGAAACTAACCATTCGATGTTTGATACTGTTAGCTAGCCATGCCCTCCCAGTTTCTCCATAATATCGTACAATCTGGTGTAAATTTATTTACACATAACGCTGACCTGAGAAATTTTCTATGGAATATTTCAATTTGACTCAGATCTTCATATCCCCACACTTCACATCCATAAATGAGTTGGTCAAACAATTCACATTGAATATCCAGTGGCAGTTTGAGTCTTTGAACCTTTAATGACATAGAGAAGAGGGCTTTCCTGGCCTGTGATACCTGTTTTGAAATAGCCTTTTTAAAACTTCCATTATAATTAACCTGAACCCCAAGATATACAAAATCATCCACAACATCAATTTCATCTTCTCCAAATCTGAAAACTGGAAATTTACGTACTTTGCCTCTTGCAAATATAAGTACTTTAGTTTTCATAGCATTAACACTTAACTTCCAAATTTTACAATATTGAGACAAGGCATTCAAAGCCACTTGCAATTCCTCTGCTGTGTCAGCCAATATTAGGGTGTCATCTGCGTACAACAATGTGTATAATTGTAAGAAAGATCTTTGTTTACTTCTTTATCTAAAATGTCAGCACATACATTTTCAACTAAAAATTTGAGACCTTTAAAGTGTTTACTGAGAAAATCCTCGAAATCATTAAGATATATTGCAAAGAGCAGTGGTGATAAGTTTTTCACCCTGCCTAACACCAACATCGCATTGAAAAGCCTCAGACATTTGACCATCTACTATCACGCACGATTTTGCTTGAGAATACATATTCTTAATAACTGTGAACACCTTACCATCCACCCTGACCTCAATAATTTGTGCCAAAGTGAAACCCTATCAACCATATCAAAAGCTTTTCTATAGTCTATAAAAGCGCAGTAAATTCTCTTCCGTTTAGACAAGTAAATGTCAAGCAGGGATTTCAAAACAAAATATGGTCTGTTGTAGAATAGCCAGCACGAAAGCCAGCCTGTTCTTCTCCAAGCTTGCATTCATTTTCGAAATAAATTGTTATCCTATAATTCAAGATGGAAGTAAACAATTTTCCCAAACAGCTTAAAAGTGTTATCCCACGATAGTTATCTGGATCTGTATCCTTTCCTCTATTTTTGAAAATAGGGACTATACTACCTAGACACCAGTCTTTTGGTACTAGACCACTCTCCAGTATCACATTAAAAAAAGCAGTAATACAACCAATTACAGCTGCTGAACAATTTTTCAAAAACTCATTTCTAACCAAATCTACACCACATGCCTTATTATTCTTTAGTTTCTGGATAATCTTTATAACTTCATCAACCGAGATAGGGGCATTCAGCTCATCATTGCCCATTGACTGGTCAAAATCCACATAATGTGTTTCAGATGCTGCACATTGCACATTATTCAAACTACTAAAATGATGCACAAAATCATCTAAAGAGACCTTGGCTGGACAAGAGCTACGCTTCGGTCCATCCAAAATTTTCCAATACTCTTGAGGACTATCCTTCTTAAGTATATGAAGATTGTTGTGTAAGAGCCTAGTGTACGCTTTTTCCTTTCTACGTAGCAATTTCCTATAATCTTTTGCAACAGCATTAATTTCAACCATTTTTTGTTCTTTATCACTCAAAGTTAGACCTTTGCACTGTCGTTTAATTCTATTTTTTAGATTAAAATATCTTGATCTGGCATGCTGACACTCTGTGTCAAACCATGGTTTCTTCTCCACGATAAGTTTCCTAGAATGAATTTTCTTACAGACTTTATCCTCACATATACCGACTTCCTTTGCCGTCTTCAAAAATGAATTTGCCAATACAGTACTAAAATTATCCATATTACCTTGTGTCGATGACTTCTCAACCATTTCCAATGCATTCATCAGTACTGAAATACTTTGATCAAGTTTCAACTTAAATTCAGATGCCTTCTCTTTAGAACACTTAAATGAAGTGTATTTCACTTTTTCGGGAGCATCAACCCTATTTTCAATTTTTCTCAATTCAACATCTTCATTTATAGGAATCAGTTTTATTATTTGAAAACATCAGATTCAATGGACAATGTACATCTGAAACACACTTATCAAAAATGTCAACCTCAAAATGAGTAATATATTGAAATAAACTAACAGATGCAATGACATAATCAACCACACTTTTCCCTCCATTTTTATTGTAACATGTAAAGCTACCAACACCCTTATCACTACCAAATCTCCCATTCACTATCTTCAAGTCAAAACTCTGACAAATGCCAATAAGCTGTCTACCATTATTATTAATAGAAGAATCCATATTATGCCTCCTAGTATCATTATTCATCATCAGTAAGCGAGCTCTTAAAATCAACATTATCATTTGAAGAACAATAACCTGAAAATTCAGAAATAACATTATCAATTACCATAAAGTCGTCAAGTAACCCAGTCCTTGAATTAAAGTCCCCTACTAGGCTGAAGGGCACATTATATGTGCTTTTCAAATATAATAGGTCCTGATAAAGGTGATCAAAAACATCATTACTATGATAAACTGACCCTTCACAAGGCAAATAAACTGCTCCTAATATAAACTCAAAGCCTAAACAAAATGAATTAAAATGAATCCACATAATAGATTCTGAGGTAGTGCCCAATATTCTAGAGGTATGAGATGAAATATTTTTTTGAATGAGAATACAAATGCCATGAATACCACCATGTCTACCCACGCCATTCTTTTCCAAAATATAACTTTGATAATTGTTGAAGTAAGAATGAGAAAAATCAGGCCTTTCAGTTTTAGTTTCAAGAAGACAAATTACTGAATAGTCTCTCAACATTAAATCAATGACTCCTGCTTCTAATTTGCTGTGAATCCCATTGACATTAATGCTGCATATGGTCAAGGTCTTGTCAGGCTAGAAGAGGGCCGGAAATGTCCTGATACGAAAGCTCACGTAAATTGACGCTGGCGTTTACAAAAATAATGCAAATTGTCATTGAGAAGAGACTAATAGCAAAAAAAGCTGCTAGGCGTTGTGGCGTGCGCCTGTATCCAGCTAAAAAGTGGAAGTTACAAACTGATTCAGCCGAGGACGCAGGTTCGAAACTGAGTCACGTCTTTCGGATGGTGACGTTTAAAGGTCGGTCCCAGACGTAAATAATCATATCTGATTGATACACGTCTGTAAAAACCCAATACACACAC